TATAGTGAAAAAAAATATTATCACAATTAAAAACAACTCCAGTCTTAAGAGTCACATGTTCCTTCAGAAATCTAATCTAATATGCTGATTTGGTGCAAAAGAAACATTTATGTTTATTATTATTATTACAAATTCTGAAAAGAGTTGTACTGCTTAATATTTTTTTGTGAACCATGATAAAAAAAAATTCAGGATTCTTTAATGAACAGAAAGATCAACAGCATTTATTTGAAATAAAAATCTTTTTAATCATTATAAATGTTTTTACTGTCAATTTTGCTCAACTTATTGTATCCTTGCTGAATATGTATTAATTTCTTAAAAAAAAAAAAATCATACTAACCCCAAAGATCTGAACCGTTTTAACAGAAATGTATCTTAAGCTATCTGAAAATATTCAATATAAACACCAATATATGTATTTGCTCTTGGAAAGTAGATTCAAGATGTTTAAATGCAATTTAAATTTATTTTATTTATTTTCAATAAATTAAAAAATGAAGAATGATATGCAGTTATTCCTACAGTAACAGCTATGTTCATCTGTTTATAGAGTTTAAAATATAAAATCTTTTGTAACATTATGAATGTCCTGTCACTTTTAAGAAATTTAATGTATCCTACTAAATAAAAGTCTTATTTTTTTTTAAATGTTTTTTAAAATCTGACTGACCCCAAACTTTTGAATATTCAAGTACATTTTTAAATATTTCTGCATTTAATAATCTTCCTCTCATAAGCAGTCTTACTCTCTTGCTTCATGCTCTCTGCATATTTTACTGTTTACTTTCTCTCTGTCTCTTTCACAAGCACAGGGAGATGCACGTGCCTCCTCACTGTTTAGCTGATCTTGAGGAATCCTCTGGCTTAGCGGGCTGCGCAAGAGGAAATTCCACTGGCTCAAATGTTCTCAGTAAAGGCCCCAGCATGGATCAAGGACCTGGAATTCCTGCAACCCATCGACTCTGCAGGGACAGCGAGGGGCCTGGAGGAATGAACGTGACGGTACCACAGATGGTTCTCCTCCAGCCAGCAGACCGACTATGGTTAGAATGGTATTTTAAGTATCACCATGCTCATAAAAATAACTGGTACCCAAAACATATGTGCGTGATCTTAAGAAGTTCGTACTTGTTTTTATCCAACATCATAATTCTGTCGATGAAGGATAATAAAGAAAGGGTGAGACTGCTCATATCGCAGATTTGAATGCATCAGGACTGTTTTCAGAACAGATTTAGTGCAGAATATGCTATCTTTTTCATCTTTGAGTGTTCTCTGATGGTCTTTATGTGTGGTATCATCCAAAAGGCCCTAGAGAGCCATCATGTACAAGATTGCACTTGACTGAAAAACATCCAGCTCCCATTCTGGCGCTGTCAGGGTTATGGACCTGTCTGTGTTTTTACTCCCTGTGACCCAGTTTCTGTCTCCCGTTGATTGTGTTAATTTGATTCCAGGTGTGTCTAGTTCTTCCCCCAATTATCCTGTGTTTAAAAGCCCTAGTCCTTTCAGTCAGTGTTTGTCGGTTCTGAACGTCATTCCATGTGTTCCTGTGTCTCCTATGTTCCCCTTGTGTTTGGATTATTAAAAGACTGTGGTTTGAAGCTATCTCCATGTCTCCTCGTTCCGTGCTCCGAGTGAATTGTGACAGAAGAACCGACCTAAACCGTTACCTCCGTTTGTACCCTCCGTTTTGTTTCCATTTTTCTCCCAGTGTTTTTCATTCCGTTGTGTCCCCATGGATCCCTTCACTCGCCCCGACATCACCCATCGATCCATCAGCTCCACCGGGCTCCCTCGTCCTTCCGGCTACGCCTTGGTCGGGCGTCGACCCGCCATCGCCTCTGGACTCCTCTCCTCTGGCTGCGCCTCGTCACTCCGTCCCACCGGCTCCTTTGGGCTCCTTCCTCCCGCCAGCTCCACCTTGGTCTTCAGTCGCTCCGGCTCCGCCGCGGATCTCCAAATCTCCACCTCCGCCTCGGTCGCCAGAGCCCTGGGCTCCACCCTGGCCCCCCGGATCCTCGGCATCCCCCTGGCTCGTTGGCTCTTCGTCTCCACCTCGGGCTCTTCTGCCACCTGCTCCGCCGCCATTGATCGGCCCCCTGGAGTCGGCGGCCATTCCTCCTCCATGGATCCTCCCTCCGTCGGCTCCACCGTGGGTCATCGTAATGGCTGTGGCCTGGGTCCAGCTTGACTCCTCCTACTCTAAGCCCCTCCTGTTTCCTCCCTGGCTCCTCTCTCCTTCGTCACCCCCATGGACTCTGTCTGCCGGCCCCCTCCCAGGTGTCCGTCCTCCTCCTGAGCCTCCGCCCAAGTTCCCACCCATCACTCCCTCTGTTGTATTTACGGTGTGAGGTCGCACCTTCCGGGACGGGGCGAAAATAAATTTCTCAAAATCTGTTCTTCATCTTGTGGGGGCCCTCTTTGACTACAAAAGTAGATATAGGTTTGCTGGATCTTGGTGGATTAGCATAAGCAAACTGATGAGTCCAAATCCATTCATAACTGTTTTCAAACCTTAAAACTGATGTAAACTTCAACACACCCATCTTATACTTATTCAGAGAATAAGTATTCTCAGTGACAGCGATGTGCAGTGCAACATCTTACACAAACTCTGGTTAAAGCTGATAAAGGACAAATGAATGCTTGCATGACATTTCAATCTTTTTCCATCATGTTTGGACTTAAAGGGGTCATAAGATGTTGCTAAAAAGAACATTATTTTGTGCATTTGGTGTAATGAAATGTGTTTATGCGGTTTAAGGTTAAAAATACACATTATTTTCCACATACTGTACATTATTGTTTCTCCTCTATGCCCCGCCTTTCTGAAATGCGTCAATTTTCATCCCTCCTCCATGGCTCCACCGTGGGCCGCTGTTATGGCTGGGGCCTGGGTCCTGCTGAGCTCCTCCTGCTCCGGGTCCCTCCTGTCTCCTCCCTGGCTCCTCCCTCCTTCGTCACACCCCTGGTCTCTGTCTGCCAGCCTCCTCCCGGATATCCGTCCTCCTCTGGAACCTCCTCCCAAGTTCCCACCCATTCCCCTCCCCATGTTGTTTCTACGGTGCGAGGACACACCTTCCGGGAGGGGGCGTGATGACAGGGTTATGGACTTGTCTGTGTGTGTTTTTGCTCCCTGTGACCCAGTTTCTGTCTCCCGTTGATTGTGTTCATTTGATTCCAGGTGTGTCTAGTTCTTCCCCCAATTATCCTGTGTTTAAAAGCCCTAGTCCTTTCAGTCAGTGTTTGTCGTTTCTGAACGTCATTCCATGTGTTCCTGTGTCTCCTATGTACCCCTTGTGTTTGGATTATTAAAAGACTGTGGTTTGAAGCTATCTCCGTGTCTCCTCGTTCCGTGCTCCGAGTGAATTGTGACAGGCGCAACCAAACCTGTCAAAGTTATAAGTTTTACAGCTGCCTAAATACTGTGAAGGTCAGAGGTGGTTCCCTGACTTTCTCTTTTTGGAGGAATTCAGCTGTTTTAAAGAACAGAATGTTCCTGGTTGTGAGTGATGTAAGAAGAACACGGCAACATCCTCCTCCATTGGAAAAGTTCTGGGGGGCTTTTAGATTTCTTTAGCAGTACTCCAGGAAATTGTGGTCGCGGTTTCACTGTGGTCAGTTATATGCAGTTGGCTCATATGTGTTAAGTGTATATCAATTGGTATTGCTGACATTCAGTTTTAGATTACATAAATGCTGTTGCTTGCAGTATATGGCAAGTTCTTGATTCTTATTATTTTGTCTTTTTGTCTTTTGTATTTGTGGATTGTTGAACTAAAATCAAAAGCCAAAAGATCAATACCCAAACATGAATGAATATAAAAATGAACACTAAACTCAAATATAATATTTTATCTAAGCCTTTATGCACACAATACTGTTTTAAGGTTTGGGGTCAGTAAGATTGTTTTAAATAAATACTTTATTCTGCAAGTTTGAATGAAATTGATCATAAGTGACAGTAAAGACATGTATAATTACAAAAGGCTTCTTTTCCAACTAAATTCTGCTCTTTGGAACTTTGTATCCATCAAAGATTCCTAGATATATAAATATTCTGATAATAATGAAAAATGTTTCATCTATCTATCTATCTATCTCTAAACTTAAACTTCAATGCTAAAGAAAGATGATATAAACAACATAACCAGTTGCTTGCTAGTTACTAATAGTACATAAAATAGACAGGAGAATCTTATCATATTTTAAATGAAAGTTACATTTTGGAAATTGTATAAACCAATCATGCCGCAATCATATCCCGCTGCATTCTGTGGTCGTGCTAATTGTAAACTATCTGGTTCGTATATCCTGCATTAAATGCCTTTGTAGAAACTGTGATGGAAAACAGTGGTTCAAAGTCAGAAAGTGTTTATTTGATATGGGACCTCTCCTCTTATTTCTCATCCGCAAGGTTATATAACTATATAAGTACTTACATAATATCCTTTCCAGAATTTGGGGAGTGAAGGTAAATCAGAATTGTATGGTCAAATAGCCATGTACCTGCATATGGTAACAGTATGTATTTTTAAAATATATTTCTTGTAGTGACCGTTAAAGGTCACCGTTAAAAAGTGCACTGTCCATTTAATGGCCTGCAGTGGCAGCTGTGCTGTTAACTTTGTCCCTGCCACACAAAGACACGTTAAAGCTACTTTAAAGGTCCACCATTCAATTGTCCTCTCACTATACACACACACCAACTTGCCATATGTCTACCCGTAAGCCCCGCCCCCTGCCCCATAAGATCCCGCCCACCAACCTGGAGGATCGAATATCGCGTCCGTCTTTCGCTGCATCACTCGACTCCTTATTTCATCCAAATTACAGTGTTACAGCGGCACTGTTTAAGCTGAAGCCTCTCGTCCACGAGGATTTGACAGCACATAATGTTAGTATGATACCCAAACCGTCCTCTGTATCCTAAACCGGGGGTTGGGAGGGGAGAATCAGATCTTTTGACCCCAGCCATCATTCCCTGGATAACGGGCACAGAGCCACCCGACAGCCTCAATTGTTGTTTCCTTTTGCCGACATCTGCTGCGCGTTGCTCACATTTGCATCCGAAGCAACAAGAGGTCTGTATTAGGATGTAATGGACCACATTCATCTCATTTCCTGAAGACGAAATCAGCTTATTTGGATCAGAACATTTCATCTGTTTTGTTCATTCATTGAGAGCATAATAACAATCAAGGGCTTGGTGACATGATGGAGAGTGTGGAGAAGGAGTGCGGCGCTCTGGGTGGATTGTTTCAGGCGATCGTCAACGATATGAAGGTACCACGACTGTTTTATTGATGCAGATATTTAGCAAAAAAGATGGTTGTGTTTTACTGCCTTTGTTTTCATAAGGGGTCCAGCTGCCTGCACCACTGATGCTGTGATTAATGGCATGGGGGTCTCAGCATGGAGGGCTTTGTTGTGAAATGAGAATTGGACCCTTTTGTAGATGTTAGTAAAACCTGTTATATGTTAAAGCATTTTTTTCTGTGCATTTTATTTTGCGTTAAACATACGATTAATACAGTAAAATTAGAGAAAATATTTTTTCCACTGAATATAGATCTATTAGTGGTTTAGAAATGTTCAGAATTCTTTTTATCCAATTATTTTTATCCAAAATAGTTTTTATATGACGCATGGGCACCACCCACTTTTCCATGCTTAAATATAAATGTAAAATTATGTTTTGATAGTCAAATACATTCACTACTCCTACTGTCTGTCTGTTATTGTCTGTCTCATATATCCATTAGAGAGGCTCATGTGTAGTTTGATTTTTACAAAAACCATATAATCCCATTTTAACCCAATTAATTTTACTTGACATAGTCCTCGCATTTACAAATGTGAAAATGGTGCACTAAAAGTCTGCCTAGCTATTAGTTGTCCAATAAGCAAAAGACATTTACCTCTATTTTGGACTCCAGTCAGAATATCTCTCAGGCTGACCCTCTATCATATTGATGATTTTGAAAGCAATGTTAATGTGCAGGGATTACGCATGGCTCGTAAAGAGATAGAAATGCATCAGAGTGAGCTTAAATGTGGAGCTTAACTAAACTCTCACTTGCTCAAAGTCTTGTTGTGATTTTAGTGAAGTAAAAAGAATCAAATACAGCTTTTAAATAGCTGTTTGTATAGAATACAGTATGTAAAATATTGGTATTCATGCATTTAGGAAAGCATAAGTCGTAATAGTGACATTTATTTTTGACAGAAGAGAAAGTTTGTTTATTTGATGGTGAAAAACTCATTCTAATTATGGGAAATCTGGGGATTGATTGATTTAAATACCACAGTGGCTATTTTGTACAGTATAGCCTTACTAAAATCAATAAGGTATATTATTACCTGGCATGTAAATATTTGATATCTTTATTTGCACCATTTATTCTTATTTATTTATTTGGATTTTCTTTACCCACATATATTTAAGAAGAAACATTTGTAGTTATATTCCTTACTAAAAAAAAAGCCAGAATCCAATTGTGTAATGTCATCAAAAACACTCTTCTTAAAAATACTTCGTTAAATATTCAGGATGAAGGATCCAAGGTCTTTGCACATTGTTGTCGATAAGTTGAATTTAATCTGTTCTCCTGTAACATTTAAACCTCTCATGGCCACTTCTCAGATATGATCTGCTTTTCCTACAGCTTGGCCTATTTGCGATTTTTTTGGAGCGTTTTCCAGCCTGTTGCGTTGCTGGAGCAGAACCCTGTGGTTGCACGTACTGTTCCATAAATGGTTTCCATGTTCTCGTGCGGCTCCAGTAGTGAATGTTATTGCTGAAAGTTGGCGTTTGAGTGAAGTTCAGTGGCCAGATGCCAGATCTGGGGTTCATATATTGTGAACGGCTCCAGACTTGACTCGGGACCAACCCTGGCAACGTTCAGCTTGTTTGACATGCAGTATATCAACACTCGTAAAGATGGTGAAGCCGGAGAGTGTCGTAATGTCAGAGATGATGTGCGTATGTAGGGCAAACTCCTCTTCAAAAATTTGCATATTGTAGAATTTCTCTACTCCGTGAGTTCACTTGGCAGACCAAGATCTATAAAAGAGTTTACAGCTGTGGCCAAAGGTTTAGGACAGCTATTTTTGCTAGAATAATATGAAATAAAACACACAAACATAGCTGCTTTCACTTCAAAAATAAAATAGAATTAAACTAATATTAAATTAAATAAGAAATAATCATTATACTCATCTGTTTAAAGCAGTTAATTTAAAGTGCCCCTATTATGGGTTATGAAATGTTCATATTTTGGTTTTGGGAGTCCCCAACAACAGGTTGACATGCATGTAAGGTCAAAAAACTATTTCATTGTCTTATAATATGCATTTATTTTTTACCTTATTTGCTCAACGACTCCCAAACGATTCGTTTAACGATTCATTTTTCCTAACCCCTCCTTTGTGTGACGCTAATCTGCGGTGATTGGTCCGATTTGTCTCATTTTCATTTCATCATGCCTGTAATGCCTGATAAAGCAGCATTTGTGAGCGCATTGCTGCTTTGTTTACAGCCGTTACTGGGGAAACAGCTATTTTTACCGCTATGCCTGATAAAGCAGCGTTTGTGAGCGCAGTGCTGCTTTGTTTACAGCCGTTACTGGGGAAACAGCTATTTTTACCGCTCCAAAAGCCTTAGTGGCAAAGAATAAATTTGCATTTTCATTCAGACCAAAGCGAAAAGACCAACAAGTGGGCGGGCAATATGCTAATGTTTCATGTTGATGTTAACATGAAACGGCTTGGGATTCGTTTTAAAAACGAATCGTTTCAATGATTCAGAGTCGACTCTTTCTTTTGAGAGACAATAACTTTATACACGGTGATCTTTCAGGTTTAAAACTTGGCAGGAGGTATTTTTATTTAAAGATCACTTTAAATTGATCAAAAATGACAATAAAGACTTTTACATTGTTAAGTAAATGGTGTTGTTTTCGATGTTTTTCTGGTATTTAACAGTTCACATAAAAATATTCCTTTTTTTCAACATTGATAATAAGAAATGTTTCTTGATGATTTTTGAATGATCATGTGACACTGAAAACTGGCTGCTGAAATTCAGAATGGGAATAAATGACATTGTAAAATATATAAAATAAAAACAGTTATTTTAAATGGTATTAATTTCACAATTTTACTGTTTTTACTTTTTGATCAAATAAATGCAGCCTTGGTGAGCATAAGAGACTTATAGACCCTAAACGTTTGGATGATAATATATTTTTGTTCTTTTTTTTTTTTTTGATACTCTAGTCATATGTTTATGCATTATACTGCATACACCACACAAACCAGAGTTTGTGAGAGAGATTGTAAAGAGAGCAGAGTAAAGAGAGATTGTGTGTAACTAAAGGGTGAAATTTTAGCTGCACAGTGAGCTGTGGAGCAAAGTTACGTTTTTTTTTTCCCCCAAAACAAAAGAAAACCTAGATTCCAACATCAACAACAAAAATAAATCAGACACCCTTGCATTTATTTATTTGTTTATGAAATAATAAGAAACCACTGTTTACAGTAGATATCTTAGATTTTCTACCATATCTCCCTATTTAGTGGTTGTGTCAGCAGAAATGCCAGAATGCACTTATTCAGCAGTTTTGACCAATTTTTTAACACAAATGTGTATAGAAACAAAGGATTTTCAAACAGATAAATGTCTTAACCTCTGAATGAAAGATAATTTGCTCATGGTCATCAGAGACCCATGTAACAACAACCTTATCCCAACCTCTCCAGTTTCTTAACAAGAGCTGTCAGCACAATTTTAAAAAGATTCTTCCCTCCTGTCCCTGAAAATGTCACTTTATTAAAGACAGACTTTCTCTTGAATTGATCCAATGTGAAAGCTGTTTTTCAGTTGTTTTGTATATGATGCATCTTGGGGTGTGATAATAAATAATTATTTTGGAATGAAAATTCTTAATGTTTTATAAAGGTTTTTCTTGACCAATGAAGTGTTTCTGGTTAAGCTTGTTAAAGTGATAGTACACCCAAAAACGAAAAGTTTGTCATAATTTACCCACCCTCATATCGTTCCAAGCCTGTATGACTTAGATATTCTGAAGAATGTTGGTAACCAAACAGTTTTGGAGCCCATTGACTGGTGCTGATTATATGGACAAAAAACACTGAGACAAAATGTCTTCAATTATGTTTCAAAGAAGAAAGTAAGCCATGCAAGTTTGGAACGATGTTTAAGAAGCCTAAGACACCAGCATCCTATGTTGGGTAACGACATATGCTGGTCATTTCAACAGCATATAAAGTCATGATGACAGACAGGGTCAGCACACCTGGTCAAAATGTTGCTGGTGTTCCTGTAGAGAATGTTCTTCCAACACAGATGTAAGTGTGTCATGAATGTTTGTATTCAGCGAGACATCTGGTCCTCATCTGAAGTGCTTTGCTCTCTTTGTGGTACATGGAGTTCTGAATGTGTCTGTGTTTTGTAGTACCTGTATGTGTGCAGTTTAGTGTTGAGGTTTATGTGCTTACTAACTCTCTCATATGTCTCTCTTCATTCCTGTAGTACTCATACCCAGTGTGGGAAGACTTCATTGCAAAGGCCACGAAACTACACTCCCAGCTAAGGTAATTTAAGATGTCTTTTATTAGTTATTTCTTTCATCTTTTCGGAGATATTGATACTCACTTTAGGCCCTGTTCCAAATGGCACCCTCAACCCTTGCGGTCCACCTGTGCAGTCTACATTTTGCTGCATGGGGTGTTGGGTAATAGTCTGCTCCAGTGTGGGATTGACAAAATGCCGAATGAGCACTCTTCTGATTCTGAATCATAAAATAACAAATGAGACACCCTCAGGCCTCATGGACTTCACAGCATCAAATTCACTTCAAGTTCACATCAAGCGCTTCATTTGGGACAGGGCCTTAATCTGCATTCTCAAGATGTGAATCAGCTTGATTTTCAGCAGTTCTGTCGCTGTTCCTAATCAGCACTGGCGCTGATGACTATAAATGTTTTGCTGTTTACTCCCTCACAGAACCACATTGTTGGCGGTCGCAGCGTTTCTGGATGCTTTTCAGAAGGTGGCAGACATGGCAACCAACACGAGAGGTACATTTAAAATGTTGAGATCACAATGATCAACGGTTGTTGAGTTGCAGGTTGTTGACTGTTTTGGGTGACTATAATAAACTTTTGCATATAGTCAAATTGCACAGTTTCATTTCATCCCTATGAAATCGGAAGGAAGTTGGAAGTGGGTCTGCATGATTTGGGGAATGATTTATGCATGATTTGCTAAATTGCAATTGTGATTTAAAATGTGATAAAAAAATTCCGGGTTTGCTGCTTGTTTGAAGGGCTGCCTGATTTGACCAAATTTTTGTGTAAATCAATATGGCTATAACATAAAACATATATTTAAAAATAATAATAATAATTATTATTATTATTACTACTACTAACTAAAAAATAAAAATATAAAAATGTTAAATAAAAAATTAGTATTTAAGAAAAATATAATAATAATTTCAACTGTAAAATTATAATAAAAATATTTATACAATATTACAAATATAAAATTATTACAAATATCATAGAAAAATTATATTTATCTTATTTTTTTAATTTTCAAACATTTTATTTTTAAAACTGCAGGGAGCCCGGCTTCTCTTTTGATAAGTGCTTCTTATTACAAGTATGGAAAGATGGTAGGCACATGTTGCATTTCCAAACGCATGTTAAATCGACCCAAACTTGAGATGGAGTTTGTGTGGAGCAGCATTTACTGCAAACCGAGGTGCTCTGAGATGCTTCAAACACTGGCAGATAATGAGATGCTCACGTGAAAACACAGTGTCGTGCTTTACTCTGAAACACGAAGCACATATATTTATTTAATTAAATAACATCCTATGTGGACTGAGCCGTGTTGCGATTTTCAATTTTGTCTAGTTTTCTTTCATATGAATACATCAGAAAGGTCACTTTGAGTTTGTTCTGATAACTAGGAAATGGCTTGAGAGTCATATTTCATCATAGTTCAATTCTGCTTCTAGCTGGCTGCTATTGAATCTCTGAAACCGAATCCTTCCTGTGCCATTAAAATCCTCTAGTTACTGCCTGCAGGGACCAGACAAGGCCAAACAAATCTAGTCTTCATGAACACGGTTAAAGGATGTGGGTCAGGCATAGCTGTTGGCCTAGAGCTGAATTACTCATTTGTATCTGTCTTGTAAATTGCACCATATGTACACAAGCGCTGAATGCACTGGATCTTTATTTCCCATGTAGTGTGCGTGGGTTTGTGTGTATAAGCACCGACCAGCCACAGTAGACAAAGGGACCGGTTGCTATTGGCTACCAAAATCTACAAGGTTACAGCACTTGCACAGGAACTACAGATACCTCACAGAGACCAGACAGACATAAAAAGCTCTGGTTTTAAATATCTGCTTAGTGTGGGAGAGAAATTATGATGGAATAGTTTATTTGACACTTCAGTTTATGAACTTTGATACTGGTTTGTGCTTGTTAGACAAGCTTAATCAGGGCAGTGATAATCTCCAGTATCTATTTTTTTTATATATTTTTAAAAAATCAATGATATTATTTTTTCAATATATTTCGATAATTTTAAATTGTTGAATAAAAAAGTTATGCCACCCACCCCATTCTGGCGATATATATATATATATATATATATATATACACACACACACACACACACACATATATATATTTATTGCCATAATGTTTGCTGACACAACTTAAATATGTTGCCTAAAATATATTTTATTTTTAAATAAAATTTTTTTTTATTATTTTTTTATTTTATTTATCCTGCATAACTTTTAGCAGCTGGTTATATCAGCCAGTGTTGGGGAAAGTTACTTTTAAAAGTAATGCATTACAAAATTGCATTACTCCATTGAAAAAGTAACTAATTGCATTACTTTGTTGCTTTTTATGTAAAGTAATGCATTATGTTACTTTTGCGTTACTTTTTGTCGGCTGGGCTTGGCTTGCTTATTTATTTTATTATTTTTTTAATAACAAAAAAGCCCAAAAGTTATATTATTGGCAACTGTAAAGGCCCTTTCACACCAAAAGTGAAATGAATAAGCCTCAGGCTGAAGGAAGTGCCTCTGCCTCTGTACCTCACTCCTGATTTCTCTCAACACAGGGACAGGAGAGATGTCAGGGGGAAAAAAGTAACTTAAGTTACTTATATGAAAAAGTATCTCAGATATTTCATTGTAATTGTAAAAGTAATGCATTACTTTACTAGTTACTTGGGGAAAGTAATCTGATTACGTACCTCATGTTACTTGTAATGCATTACCCCCAACACTAATATCAGCACACTTGTAGTGATAAGAAATGTAGACAGACACAATATGGAGTAGTTTCTATAGAGACTATATCACATTTCACATTTAGTTTTGTATCAGTCTAGTAAAGGCTAATGCAAAGTCTTTACCCGCAACACAGCTACCTATCCACCTTCACCCTTCTGCCTGGTTCAGAATTATTACCAGATGCCAGTGAACCAGATTGATTCCATTTGTCCTGCGGGAGCGCTTTGTTCTGCTCGGACTCCAAACATACAGCACTGCCATAAATTAGTTCAGTGAACTGTCAATAATTTTAGTGGATGGCTGTCACTGGAGCATTTTCACCTCTGACCCGGTCTGGCTGTTGTTTATGACTTTGAGTCGATATAAAAGTTACAAGTAGTTACAATATACACCGAACTTTGGGTAATGTCCTAATTTTAAGAACAGAATTCATTACCAGATTCTTGCTTTTATATTTATTTTTTGTGATGCCCTTGTTTTTTGGTTTCCAGTAGCGCCACACTGAAATGATATCTACTCTACACCAATGAGAGGGCAGCATATAATCCCTGGTATTAAGTGTCAGCAACAGTAGGCATGCGTTCTCTTTGAATTAGGGACAGGCTGGGGGCACTGGCACAGCTGGAGATCTCACTAAAACACTGACATCAGACTGATTCTCGTCTCACCGGCTTCCAGTGACACACATTCTTCCCCCCATCACCCCAGTCAGCAGGCCCGTAATCGCACACAGTCCGGACAGTCACACAGCCTTTCAGTGGCCTGAACGTTTAAAGTATTTGAATATAAGTGAATCGCTATCACTTTACAATAAGATTTACTTTATTTATGCAGGTGTCCTGAACAAACAATCAACAACAATTGGTTTATGTTAATAAAAAAATATACATTTCTATAATATAATAGAAAAGAATAGAATAGAATATTGTAATATAATATAATAATTACAGCATTTTATTATCTAGATTAATGCTAATTTATTATATTATATTAATGTTATAATATAATAATAATAATATATTACATTAGAATATATAATTATAAATAAACATACTATTGTTCATTATTATTTCATGTTTATTCATAATATATTAGTTAATTTATACACCTTGAAATGACAGTATATGTATCACTATATGTAGAAATGACCATTTATTAAGATTAATCAATGCTTTGATTGAACATTATGAACATTAACCAGTTCATGATTCATCTTGATGATTGCCTGGATGTCACCGTTTTGATCACTATTAAGGTTTCATCAAGTTTCATCTCAGTGGAGAAAAAAACTTTTTTTTTTTTTGTGTCAGTTAGTATGTTAAGTGTTAGTAGGCTTGAGAATATTAATACAGGGAATGTCAATATGAAAGAAAATTACATAGTGTCTCTCTCTCTCTCTCTCTCTCTCTCTCTCTCTCTCTCTCATACCTTTCCCTGCTATTACGACTCCCTGCCTTTTATAGCAAAGGAGTCCAGCACTCTGGCTTTTTTGTGATCTTTTTAGTCATGGCATCATGGTCAGCGGTTTTTTATAGAGCAGATGTGGGCAGTCTTCATTAGTGCACGTGTTAGACAGGCGTGGAAGTGTTTGATGTCTGTGTTTGACTTGCATTTGGACGTCTGGCCTCTAAAAAGAACAGAATTTGCTTACATTCACTTCCAGTGATGAATGTTAGAGGAGGGATGTTTACTGGAACACAAGTCAAATGTAATGATACATGCTTTGTTCATCTAGATCTTTATTAACACATCTAAGTCAATGTGTTTATATGATGTCAGCACTATGCATTGCACCACCCCATAGTGATTTAGTTGTGTAAGTGTATAGTTAGTCCCGCGGGTAATTTCTTATGTTGTGAGAGATGCGCCATGGGAGATGGTCACAAACCTCTCTGTCATGGGATCGGGGTGAGGTGTGTTTTAATGATGGCTCTTGGGTCTGTATTTGTGTGTTTTCCATCCACGCTGATGACAGGCTCTTCTCAGCGTATGTATACTGTATGAGTACTTATGTCTATACATGGAAGGAGCTTGAAAGCGATTTCGCCCCGGCTTGCAGTGGCGAGGCAGAGATGTGTAATCCTCTTTACCTTGTTCTGACACACAGACTGAGTTTGTGCATGTTAGTGCGAGTGTGTGTCAGTGGGACGCAGTGGGCTGCTAATCTTCCCTGCAGCTCTGAAAGAAGAAAGTCATATACACCTAGGATGCATCGGGGGTGAGTAAAAAACAGCCTAATTTTCATTTTTGGGTGAACTAACCCTTTAACACGCATATAGAAACATAAGGAGAGCAAGAGATTGATTGTTAGAGTCAGTTTATTTTTAATTAATACTATAGTAGTTCAGTTTCCTTTACATCTTTAACTAGCCGTTAATTTATCAATTGAATGGGTGACCTATCCTCATTAATCATGCAAACATTTGCCCCCCCTGAGAGAATTGGCAGGAATTGGCCGCCACTGTTAGAATGATTGCTGATGCTCATTACCATTAGGTTAAAAATCAAATTGTGTTCCAGTACCCTCAGAAGTACCTCAGTAACACATACCTCTGGCTGGGAATCAAAAGATGATGACGAACAGCAGACAGGGAAAAGTGATAATGTTATCTTGAACTCACGCCTGACTGAACTACTGTCACCCTTAATAGAGAGACAGACAGAGAAGAGGGGTCAATTTATGTCTGTTTTAGTCAAATGTGTGAGTGTGTTTTTGCTGAAGCTATAATGTGAAGGACATCTGGTGAGGAG